CTTAGTAAAAATTTAGCAAAACTAAAGGTTTTACCATTTTGCCAAATCCAAAATGAGTTTAGACAAGCAACCTTAATCTGAATAGTATTTTATAAAATGTTCGCTAGATAATGAGGGAAGCCAGCATTTAAGCTATTAGAATTAGTGAATGTTGTGTATAAAGATGAGAATTTGCAAGCTAAGGTAGAAAAGGTCTTCAGGTATATTGTATAAATATTGGAGAAGGTATATATATAAGCTGGTGAAAACTTTGTAAAGTGAAGTAAAAAGTGTAAAATCATTGAGCAACCTTGCAGGAAAATCGAATTAATATTTAGAGACAGATAGGACTTAGAATAGAAATGTAAATTCATCATATATTGTAAACTATGTTCATAATATTTGTATTTATTTTTTCGTATGTATTAATAAAAATTTTTCTTGGCAAATTTGTAAGACTGTGCAGTCCTAGAAATCTGGTGACTTTATAACCTATTTCTCTTGGTAAAATGTTACAGTCTTTATGTATATTTATATATACTAACTAACTTTTGAATATTTTACTTCTTGTATAAAATTTATCAATCATAACATCTGAGCTTGAAGTATTGAAACAATGTATTATTAAACTTGAGACTAAGAATACTGAGCTTAAGACTGAAAAAGCTGAACTTTTAAAGTAGATTATGGAGGAGAATACTAGACGTAATGTTAGAGTTGAGAAATTGAAGTAAAAAAATAAGAAACTTTTGACCAAACTTGCGATAGTGAAATAGGCTTCCTTACCAATAGAAGAGTAGTCATATAATAATAATCCTTCTGACGATAGTATATCTAACTTTAATTCAGTTGCAGAGTATCATGAGAAATCATCGATAAATGTGAAAACAGATAATTCCTTTTCTGAAAAGGTTTGCTATAATAAATAAGAATTGATAACAGAAATGGCGATAGTATCTGACAACTCTGTGAAGTACCTTAATGATAAATCATTGGAAGAGAAAGAGATGGATAATTTCTTGCTTGAGACTCATAAGAAAATCATTAGTAGTAAAATAAAGTGACATAATAAGGAAAAGAAGAATGAAAAAATGGGCAGGGATTGATTCAAGAAATCTCTTCATCTGTACTCAAAGAAAATTGTGTGATAAATTTTTTAAGACCGCGTATTTTATGGGACTAGTATGATAGAAATATCTCAGCATTTGACTCAGTTATATGATAAATTACTTATTGCAGAAGAGCACAGATTGAAAGAAAATCAAGAAGAAATATTTTGCTGATACCACTATGAAAGAAATTTCGTATTTCAGTTGAAGACCTTGTGTGATAAGAATAAAATTGATGAAAAGAACTCAAAAGGTCTAATATAAGATGAAGTCATGAAGCAAGTTAATATCCTTCGTAAGAAAAAATCTAGTGAAGCGTCTTGTGATCAAGATATAGGAGTGCTATCTCAGATATAACAAGAAATGGTTTACGCAAAAAAACTCAAAGAGCTAAAAAGATCTACAAACTTCTCGAAAAAATAGGATTAGATAAAATCCAGTATATCAAGTTGTATAATGCGAATAAATATCAAAGTTTACTAATAATGAAATCTAAAAGATTATGGATTATTTCTCAAATAAGCACAGTACAGATTTTAGTGAGGATCAGGATAATTTTATTAATAATGATTCTTTCAATTAAACTGATATGTTAGAGATGTGAGCAAATTCCTTGATTTTAACTGAGATAAGCGAATTAACAACATCTATAGTCAATGACCAAAATTATGCGGACACTTTTTAAATCAAAAAATTTATATAAATAAAATAAAGTGAAAATAAAACAAAAGGTAAATTTTGTTTATTTTATTTTTATTTATTGATTTTTACAAAAAAATCTCGATACTAATATTTAATTCTATTTCCATTTGTGGCAATAATCGCGTTGATCCTCCACAGCATGCAATCAATTAATTTTTTGTAATATTCCAGAGGAATATCTTTCCAAGCATTTTAACATATTTTTTAAGCTCTCGGATATTAGATGATGGGGGAGTATGACGTTGAACTATCATTTTCATTTCTGCCCAAAGATTTTTGATTGGGTTTAAATCTGGACTTTGGGCGGGCTAAGGAAGCATCACAATTTTAGCACTTTCGCGAGCAGCCGCAGCAAGTTTTGAATGATGTGATGCAGCATTATCTTCTTGGAAATTCTATTACCATGAGGAAAATACTTCTGCAAAGTAAGAACAACATATTTTTGAATAGTTTCAGCATGTATTTTACCAGTAACTGAACTATTTAAAGGAACAATTGGTCTAAGTCCATTCTAAGAAAAACATTCCCAAAACATTTTGCTTGGACTGTGTTTTACAGTAACTGAAATGCAATCAGGGTTCAATTCTTCTCCTGGTTCACGTCATACTTTTCCTTGACGTCCTTGTTGAAATTGTGTAAAAGTACTCTCATCTGAAAAAAACACTTTTCTCTATTGTCTTGTTGTCTATTTTTCATGTTCGCAAACCCATTCAAAATGAATTTAATAATGTGCTTCTATCATTGCAGGTTTGTGACGAGGAATACGAGCACTAAGTCCAACTTTTTTAAGGGTACGACGTATAGTAAATGCAGAAATGGGGTTTTTAAATGAAATGTTCAAACAGTTAAAAGTTTTTTTGCATAAAGCTAACGATTTTCACCATTTTCTTAAACAAAAGCTTTAAGCTCTTGTTGAGATGGTGTATTAAGGAGTGGTGGGCAGCCAGTTTGTTTTTTTGGTGTGGAAGAACCAGTTTGATGAACACATTTAAGTGTATTATAAACAGCTGTTTTACTAGTACAACCTGATTATCCACATTTTTTATCATAAATAATAACATCACAGGTTTTGGGATGAGTGCCTTCATAATTTCATAAAGCTTTAACAAAATGCGAAATAGCTAAAAAATTTTATGTTCATGTTTATTATATAAATAAATAAAAAAATGTAATGTTTATATCTCGTGATCATATGATAATCTGCCCAATTTTGGTAAAAAAAATTGTCTGTATAATTTTGGACATTGATTGTATTCCTTTAACCCATAACTCTAATTCTTCTCATGATTCCAAAGAAATTAGCCTAAGCAATTCGCTCAAAGCTGAGGATAATTACTACAAAATGCTTTTGGAAGATTATGCGAAGGATTGGATGTATTTTGATTCTCAGTCAGTAAAAGAAATGAATAAAGAAGTTGTTTCACAATCAGTTAAGACAAACAATAATAGTAACTGTAATCATAATAGTAATTCTGAAGAAGAGATGCCAAATGATTCAGATGATAATGAATATGGTAGATATAATAAATTTGATGTATATAATAGAGGTTATTATTATCATAATGAAAAATATGAAAGGAAAACCTCCCCAATGATGAATCCTATTATCTCTTTGGTAACTGTCTAGAAGAATTATTAGATGAATTATATACTTGCATATACTAGTCAAAATTATGCACTAATACTTTTCAGTTGATATTCAGCTGATTCGGTTATATGATTTGGTAAAAATTCAGCTTAAGTTACAAAAATCGATAGTCATTTGTTACATTGTGCATAATTTAGCATTATTTCAACACTATGATCTTTCGGTAAACATTCAGCTGATTCAGTCATACTATTTGACAAAAATTCAGCTTATATTTAAAATTTAATACAAAAATTATAATAAATCTACTGTCATTTGTTACACCATATATAATTTAGTACTTTTTCAATATTAAGACCTTTCAGAAAATATTCAGATGATTCAATACGACAAAATTTTAGTTATATGACATGAAAATTATAACAAATTGACTGTCGTTTATTACATTGTATCTAATTCAGCATTATATTAGTCCGGTTTTAGTTTATTATGAAAAATTTATATTACAAATAAAAGTTAACGAATATGAAATTTACGATTTATCAGATTTATGGCTATATATTTAATAGCATTTGGACAAGTAGAAATTTTATATTTTACTGGTACAAATCGATAAAGAATATGTTATACCAGAATAATACCATCAGGAAAAAATTCGTTTTTCCATAGTTTAATATTACAAGTTTTTTCATCATCATCGATACTAAAATAATATTGAACTTTATATGTTTCTGTCAACTTATACCACCAAATAAATGCCAAATTATGTTCTGCTGGTCTATTTTCAAAATTGATTATATACTTAAAAAAATACTAGACTTGATCAGCATAACAGTTGATCTGATTATCTAATGTTATAAAATTTGCTAAAATAAATGAACTTTTCACATAATGAGATGACATTACCAAGCCAAACACCTCTAAACCAATTTTATACTGACTGAATTTATTTATTGTAATATGACTAAATATGATCAAATCTTCAGGTCCATCATCGAATAGTGCCTTGAAATTATGTGTTTCATATGTTGCTATGTAGTATTCAAACATTAAATCAAGCATTGTCTTAGACAATATCACATCAAATTTAGGACTTACATTTTTCCAGGAAATGGTTCACATTCTGTAATAATCGATTCTTGTATGTTTCTCGAATTAGACCAAAATCGCTCTATTTTATCTGATGAATATTCATCATCTTCTAATAATAAACTAATCACAGTTTGATTATCAAGCAAATCTAAACCTTTTGTTCAAATATTTACTGAGCTACTGATTTCTCTAATAAAATTATCGTTCATTAATCTTTGCATTATTTCTGGCTCAATTTGTCTATAACTACTCAGTAACGAACTTAAATATTATTAACATATTTCATTATTTACTAGCACATTTCATTATATATATTAATAAAAAGAAAAAGAAGCTATAATTGCCAAGTATCCTATTCATACGTTCAAATGAGAAACATCAAAAAGTATATAAAGGGCTGAAATTGTATGAACATTTTCGTAAATAAAGTGAAAGGTGGAGATTCAGTATTATTTTATCATGCCCATAATGCTTCTCAATAAGTTTTACTATTTTAATTAACCTTTCATAAGCTTCTTATACTGAATCGAGTTCCAGAATTCGATCTATTAGAATCGAATAAACTCTAACAAATGTGTTAGAATCATTTGGTCGATTACTAATAGTTGTTTCCAAAGTGATGTAGTTATATAAATTGTATAAAATGTTTATCATTGGTCTGCTGTGAAATTGGAAAAACCTTCTTCACAATCGATTTTTTGAGGGATTCTACCTAAATCTGCTAGAACTTGAATTTGATTCATATTTTTTTAGATACTTTTAAGAGTATAAAACCTTTTCATCAATCCAAATTCGTTTAATTATTCATTTCGCTATGCCTAAAAATAAACAATGTATTAGATCGATCGTTAAAAATCAAATTAGATCAAAGTATGATAACCAAAGTAATTCAGACCATCTAATACCAGTATTCTTTACAAATCGCTTTCTGTCAGCATATGAATTGCACTTTCGCCAGCCAAGTACATCCTCTAAATGTTGTGATAAATCTTAGGGAGTAAACCATTCATTCATATTAATCATTCCAGCAAAATTATGTTGCTGATTTTCATAATTTGCCTTTTTTTCGCACCTATGATATGACATCAATACTAAAATATGATCGCAAATTTTCTTGTTATGGGAATATCACATGAAATCAGGATTAATGCTATGTGAATTCTTCTTCCTCCTTGATATTCGTGTATTCGATTTAGAGTTATACTATTTCAAAGTAACTCTAATTCATCAAAAATTGATGCTAAATAATGGTTTATTTTGTGTAAACTTACTTTATTCAGGCCAGGCAAAATTCCAAGAATTAGTAAATTTTCACGCTTAAATCAAATATCTCTTGAAAAATTACAAATTGCAGCATATAATACCCAAGTACTATGGATTGTTCCGTCAAAGGGTTTAAACCAATCCAAATTCCATATTAATCCTAAATATGAATCGGTTACATCAGGTCTGAAAAATTTCGGTGAAATTTCTGAATCATTTTCTTTAAATATCTTCTAAACTTGTTTATCATATATGTCAGCTAATATGTTATCAAAACTTTTTCTATCGGTCCAATGATGTAGATAATTTTCAAAACCTTGTCGATGAAACATAATACTGAGTTGTTCTTGAATGCTAGCAAATGGATGAATTAATTTTGATTGAAAAAAATTCGAATTATCTATTTTGCAAAATAATGGTATATTACAAGGTCATAACTTGCGAATTGATGAATTCAGAAATTTGACATGATTGTATTTCATAACTGATAAAGTATCATTTTGTTAAAAGTTCACCACTTCATATCTGTTGTAAAGTTTATAACATTTTATATAAGATACGAAACTATGAAATCGATCTTTGAGGCCAAGCAATTTCTTTGCTAAATAAAGAGTACTTGGAAATTTGTTGAATCTATCACCACTGATTTCAATTAGAACTAATTTCATAAATTTTATTAGAGAATCTATTGCAGTCTCTAATACGTTAAATCTAATTCAAAAGTTTATTATCTATAATAAAATCCATGCAAATTGATCATCAATTGTTACTTCCTTTTCTTCATCTTGATATGGTTCATATTTCGGCGATGAATAATCTTCAAAAGTTTCAGAAATAAGTAAATCATCCAATTCATTCACTAGTCGAAATAGTCCAAATCGGCTATAAATCAGATGGCTGAATTTAAGCCAATTTTGGTACTATTTTTGGCAGGTTTGTTATTTTCCGATCGGCACAATCTACACCGATCGACCCAATCAAATTGACGCCAACCATCCCAATTCATAAAATTTATTAAAAAGCATTTGTATTTCACGAAAATTATGAATTACTCTACGGATATTAAACCAATATTGATGAAATTTAAGATTCGACTAAATTCGGACCCACTGAACATCTTTACTTAGGCAATGAAAGGCGATTTACATGGACTAAAGTGCTGAAATTAAACAAATCGTTAAAATATAAATTCGTGTATTAATAGCGTTAAGAAAAAGATGATTTACTCTATAAATATCAAATTAACCTTGATGAAAATTGAGATTCAACTATTTTTGGACTCGCTGAACAACTTTACTTAGGCGACTAAAGGTAATTTACTTGAACAAATGTGCCTAAATAAAATTTTAAGTCAAAATGGCAAAAAGTAAATTCGTGTATTAATAGCGTTAAGAAAAACGTGAGTTTCTCTATTAATATTAAACCAACCTTGATGAAATTTGAGATTCAACTAAACTCAGACCCGCTGAACATCTTTACTTAGGCTACTAAAGGCGATTTACTTGAACCAAAGTGCCGTAATAAAATTTTTGAAGTCAAATCGGCAAAAAAATAAAAAAATAAACTTTTATAAAAGAGAAATTTTTTTTCCTATATTTGGAAATAATAGACAAATATGCAAATATGTAATAAATAAGTATACAAATGATGACCATTTGGGATGAAGTTCTGAATTTTGAATTAATTATGCCAATCATCTAGAATGTACAATTTGGCTAGAAATCGGATGACCAAATTTTAAAATATATTTTAATTAGATGCTGAATTTTGACTTATATCAAATCAGCTATAAATCGGATGGCTGATTTTTGGCTGATTTTTGATAATATCCAATTTTAGGCCGATTTTGAGCCGATTTACCATATGCCGATTTTTTTAATTTCAACCAGTATGATGAAGTTGCGGGTATTAGTTTTCATAGTTTCATCATCTTCAATAGGAACATACTCTTCTTTATCCAAAACATTGGAAGGCTGAGTAGGTTTTGGTACAAAAGTATCAGCAACAATAGTTTCATTAAAAAGAAAACTGAGGTCAGGAGTATTTTTTGATGAAGAGGTGATAGTTTCAGGTTGCTTGATTTTTGGGTCGTAGCGAAAAGTGTAATTTGTAAAGTAGGAATAATAAACTAACTAAATAAAGTTAAAAAATATTAAAAGTGTTTAAAGCAAAACATTTTTATTTTCTAAAAAAAATTTTTGTTTCCAAAAATTTTTTGGAGAAAGGAGAAAAGTTTTCCTAGAAAAAATCTTTTTTTTTTTGATTTTACTTGGATTGCACAGTTGGAACTTCAGTGCCCTATGCGCACCATTCGATAAAAGTGATGTGTCTTATTTTTGGCA